ATACATACATACATAAATATACATATATGTATATGTATGTATACATATACACCAGACAAGAGTTTTGAGCCCATAAATTGGGCACCAAACCTACTGGGGATTTCCTCCCCTTCCGCCGTCTCCGCCGCTGCCGCCGTCTAGGGGAGGGGACTAGGGGAGGGGAGGGATACAGTTACCAAGAGGTAGGGGGGTGGGCACCTTGCATCACGTGACATGGTCACATGGTAGTCACTTACAAATAGGGTTGGGATCTCATTGGGGCCTGTGAATCCCCTCTGAAGAAGCACTGTTTGGTACATATATATATATTACATATATATATATTTTATATATATATATGAATATATATGAATATATATATATGAATATATATACATATATATGAATATATATATATATATATGAGAGAGAGAGAGAGAGAGAGAGAGAGAGACACTTGCACAAACTTAAATTTAATTGAGCCTATCTTTGTGATTTATCAGAGTTTCTGTAAAAAGGTCCTGTCTATAACATGGAGTCAGCTATTCAAGCCAATCAAAGGAAACATTTTAGTTGCCAAACAATCTGTTGTTGATGGTCTTATCATTAATAACAAGACCCATTACAACAGTATCAAGCACTGAAACCTCATTTGTGCACCAAGGCTAAAGAGGGGCTAAGAACATATAGTATATCAGTCATAGAGTATGTCAGTCAAAGGTATGAACCCATCCATATGTATTGCGCCTTTTAATCACTTTTGTAGTCATTAACAGATGGAGTTAACATTCACTAGGGAGTAATGCTGAATGCACAGGCAGAATCAACAAACAGGACCCTCAGAATATATGCACAGGGAGGCCAGATTTTTTCAGCATATGAAAAGCTGTTAGCTCCATCAGCCTTTGAGCTCTTGGTATTGCATGCCAGCAGCACAAAGTCAAAAAGATGGTTCATGACAAAAATAAATGCTCAAATGTTTTCATTATAAAAGGTACAAGCGCATTCAATTGTATTTGTAGTCTATGAGACAATGACCAATGGAATAAAACATTTTCCATTACCTCTTTCAGTCGAGTTTTATTCCTTTGAGTTTTTTGTTCCATACTTGACCCTCCAAAATGTTTAGGTGGACGACCTGGTCTGCCTCTTCTTGTACGATGTGCAGCAATTTTTGGTCGGCCGGGCCTTCCTGGGCCCTTGGGTCTGCCAGGTCCACTAGAAAGTTTTTGCTCAGTGCATGTAAGAGCTCTTTCAGGATTTATAGATTCGGACTATAAAGGGTAAAAAACAAATGAATATACTAGCATTAATATACAGTGTAATATGAGAATAATTAACATTAACTGTGGAAGTCCTCCATTAAAATGTAAAAACATCCAGCACTGAAATCACTTTTTGAAATGTATTATGATATTATGATATATTCTTCTTGCCCATAAACTTTATAATGAATTAATGGTTTTACCTTTTGTTCATTTTGAGGTGCCAAGGCTTTTTCAGGACTTGAAACCTGTGCAGTAGATGGAAACGCAGTGTCTACCATCTGCCCAGCTGTAGCTGGCACAAGCGCAGTCTCAGAGTTTGTGTTTTTCAGTGACGGGATCATTGAGGGCGCATCTCCAGAACTTACTTTGGAGACTGTATTTTGTTGCCTGGGGGCTGATACAGGCTCTTGAGAGCAAAGTGCTGTTCTATGAGTAGGATTTAGCCTATAGTGTCTCGACAAGCCTCCATTTCCTATATAGGCCTTCTCACAAGTTTCACATTTGAATGCTTTAGGGTTGAGGTTAAAGTTATTAATAGCCACACTGACTTTTCCTTCTTCATCTTCCTCTTCCTCCACACTTATCTCAGAATAGTCATCAGAGTCAGACTGATGGCCATCAGCTAGATCCTCCCGCTTGATAAACTTGTAGTCCTTCACTTTATACTTTGGAGGTCTAGACACGCGGCCAGATCGGGTCTTAATTTTCTGTGGCCTTTTTTGATTATTCTTCTCTCTTTGTCTTTCCTTCTTTGCCAGGGTAGGATCCATGGTCATCTTGGAATGAAGGGGATCTGCTACCACAGCCTTGATGGGGGTCTGGAGAGGTATCTTTTGAGATATAGGGAGAACACTTCCTGTGATTGGTTCAGGTCTCTGAAGGAGAAGTTGAATAGGTGCATCTCCTGCATTATGGAGGATGTACTGCTGCTCCCCAACCACTGGTGAAATGTGAATGATTTGGGGACAGGTGACATTTACACCTGAAGAGACATTCACTTTGCGATTTAGCTGATTTACAGACATGTGTGTTTGCTGGAATACTGCCAATGGTGCAACGGACCGTTCCTTTCCTTCCTGCGTTGGTGACACCTGGACTTGTATTTGGATGGGTTCCAGCTGATAGTGGAGTAAAAAAAAAAAGGTTAAAGTCCAAACCGAAAAAGACTATCCCATAAACTTTTCCATAAAACCACATCCACACAAACACCCACCACACACAACCACACATACACTTTCAAGCTTTAACACCCTTTACCTTGGGGCTTTATAATAGGTAGCAGCAGTTAAGGTCATTGACAGAAAACTTATTTCTCTCTTCCGAAATGTCTCTTTTACAAGATTTTTTTAAAAAAAAGGATGGAATAATAAGAATAAAGGACATTTATTATATTTTGTTATTTCATAAAAAGATATGCAATGATGTTTCAGCATTTTTCAGCTGAAATATTGGTAAATTTCACCATCAATATTCAAAACAAAACAAAATAGCAGCTTGAAATTTTTGTGTCTTTATTTGGTATCAAAATAAACCATTCTGATTTATCAGCTCTAATCTGGGCCAAAATAAGTACCAGCAGATAAAAATGAACTTTCTACAGTCATGCTGAAATACCATGGGATTTGGCTGAATACACCTTACAGGTCCTGGGTGAGGGACCAAACTAACGGAGATTCAAATAACCCTTAATCCAAAAAGGCACGTGAAACCTCTCCCAGAAAAAAGAAGATGTTAGGGGCACACCCAAGAGGCAGGCCTGAAGGTTTCTCATCGGTGAGTGCCTGGTGGTTGGGCCTTCACTTAAGGCTGCACCGTGATTATATAGCATATGTACAATAATCACCAGGGTGAAACATTTGTCCGGACACTAGGTTTTCGGTACTATACGGACATTTATTTATGCCCACAATCTAGTGAGTGAATTAGCAGTACAGCTAAAATATTAATGAGATGCATATTGGGACACTCATAAGTTAGTGATTTGTATAAATTCGGTTAGAGGAGCACATCACATACTACTGTTTTAGTATATCATGGAAGCAATAAGCACTGAAGTGGCTGTGAAGGAAGGGGCAGCTCAAGAGCCACATCATCTTTTGAGTTTTGACTTATTAGAATTTGTGGATAAATGAGGTACAAAAGATGCTGGTGGTGTGCCAGTACTTTTTGCAGTTTAAAGTCCCACAAATTTTTTAAACATTAGGGTATATCAAATTTATACAGATTTATATTTTTGACACACCACAAATTTCTAAAGCCCTGGGGTCTCATTCATAACCGTTGAGTACGCACAAAACGAGACCTAAAAGATGCATACGCCTCTTTCTATGCAAACGTTGCGATCTATAGAAACAAACTTGATGGCAGAATGTGCGCATATGTACGCCAACTCTGACCCACGCATGTGAACATTTTGGAGAAAAAAATACGACCGCGGGTGAAGAGGGTGAGCAATAACGTGAGTGGCATCAGTACATAAATAATAATTCCTTAAATTTCACTGATTCAGTCACATATTTATAATAGTGAATAAAATATATAAATAAAATATATAATCAGACTCAAATCTTAACATATTCTACACTTTTAATCTATGCGCCGCAGCTGATGAAATGTAAATGGGTAAGTGGTAGTCGTTAATATCACGATTATTTGGACACGGTGTAAAGCAATCAGTCTCACTGCTGAAAACACATAAATACCGCGATGACATTCGAGCGCAACATAACATAATGGATGCGCTGGCATTGTTAGAAGATTAAGCCAATGGCAGAATTAGAAGAGAACGGGTTTTCAGGGACCATGAAGATTTTTGGCCCATGATGATGACTGGCTCATAAACCGATTTAGATTACCTAGATGTGTGCTTTTGGAGCTATGTGCTGAACTGGGTCCAATGTTAGAGAGATCAACCCGACGGAACCGCACAATCCAAGTACAAATACAGGTACTGACGACCCTGAGGTTCCTTGCAACTGGCTTGTTACCAGCGGGAATTAGCCAACAGGTATATGTTATAATTAACAATAAAGCTGTGAATTTGTTCTAAAGCTTGTTTAGGAAATACAATAATAATCTATCGATACATCCATCCATCTCCACTTATCCTTGTGTTTAATTGTATTCTAGTTCTGGAATATCACAACCATCACTAAGCTCAATAATACCTGTCGTTTGGATGGGATTATTAAAATGACTAATAGATACATTAAGTTCCCTTACACTGTGGGAGAACAGGCCAACATCAACAGGCAATGTCCGGTTTCCCAAATGTAATCGGCGCAATTGACTGCACTCACGTTGCAATGAGGGCTCCATATGAAAACAAATTTATTTACGTGAATAGAAGACATGTACATTCTACTAATGTGCAAGTTATTTGTGATGCTGATATGGTCCTGACAAACGTGGTTGCATGATGGCCTGCTTCAACACATGACTGTTTTATCCTGGAACACAACAGTGTAGGGAGCAGACTGCAGGCTGGTGCTGCACGCGATGACTGGGTTCTTGGTAAGGTGATTACACAATGTTTTTATGTATAACTATTCATTGTTCATGTATTGAATCGTTCGGTTATGAAATGCAGGTGACAGCGGCTACCCTCTCAAGCGCTGGCTCCTCACCTCCCTTTCAAACCCCCAAAGTGCACAGGAAAATCCCTATAACGATGCTCATGCTCGTGCACGCACCATTGTGGAGCGTGCGATCAGCCTACTGAAATGCAGATGGCGATATTTAGACACATCAGGTGGCCGGTTGTTATACCTATGGAAGCCCGTTTCTGCCACCGTAGAAAAAAAAATATACAGTGGTACCTCGGTTCTCAAACTCACTAGAACTCGAATTTCTTGAAAGTCGAACAAACCAGTTTG